GGTTTCTGGGATCCACTATATCCCAGGACCTAAAGTGGGAGCCCAACACGGACACCATCATCAAGAAGGCCCAGCAGAGGATGTACTTCCTGCGCCAGCTCAGGAAGCTCAACCTGCCTAAGGAGCTGCTGATCCACTTCTACACAACCATCATTCAGTCTGTCCTCTGCACGTCCATCACTGTCTGGTTTGGATCTGCCACCAAAAAGGACAGGAGCAGACTACAACGGACAGTCAGGACTGCAGAAAAGATCATCGGTGCCAACCTGCCCTCCATTCAGGATTTATACTGTGGTGTCCAAACAATAATGCCATGATGTGTTGAGAAGAAACCCGCTTGACACTGTTCTTGATCATAAAAGTTTATTAAATCAAGGAGTTATTCCTTGGGTAGTAGCCGACTATTTAAAAACGATAAAATATTCTTTGTGTGGTTCATCAGTGATAAATTATAAGTCCCGCAAGGTGCAGACAACTCGGCACAACTCCAGTGAAGCCGGGTCTCAGTCTCTTCAGCAAGTGTTCCTCTTCCGCCACACACATGCGCGTGCGCACATGCTCACTGATGACCCAGGGTTAGGGTTACAATTTAGGATTTATTTACGCACTTTTAAAAAACATTTATTGAAAGTTTTATTCTTTTTACATGTTTATTTACAGCATTAAACGTTGAAATGTATATTGTAATAGGCTGTATATTAACTTATTGGGAGAAAACTGGTAGTTCAATGTAAAATCAGACGTTGAGCACCCCCATATTGCCAAAATGGCATGATCCTTGTTTCATTGCGATGCATCGAATCTTTGACTATGGGGCTTAGCCCTACTGTATACCAAATCCACCTACCTCATGTACATAACACCTGCACATACAGTCTCCTCCAAAAGTATTTGAACGGTAATGTAAATTCCTTTGTTTTTGTTGTTCCCTGAAGACATTTGGATTTAAGATCAAAAGATGAGTATGAGACAAAAGTTCAGAATTTCAGCTCTCAATTTGTGCTGCTCACTGCACTATTTGTCAATCTGGCTATATTGTTTTTTGTTTTTGTTTATAGTGTGTATATTTGTGTTCTCTATACTGTAGCCTGTGTCTGATTTTATTATTGTGTTAAAGTATTATTGTATGAGTAGTCAAATTCCTCGTATGTGTACATATACCTGGCAAATAAAGTTGATTCTGATTCTGTAGAAGTGTTATAGAGCAGTTTTTATGAATCAGTCCATGTTTTGTTTGTCTTGTGCACATGAAAAGGTTATGTGCAATGGTTTAACACTTTTACACTGACCTGCAGGTGACAGCAATGCACCAGCAAAGGCAGTGAAGAATAAGACTGCACATTGTTAACACGGATGTGAAAAATACAGGATTTAAAATCGGTTTCGCAACAATTTGTTAGGCCCCAAGGATACACACAATGCATTGTAAGTAACACTGAATGTAAACATAATTTTTGTTTGTTTACAAGAAAATTCCACAGGGCACCTTTAACCAAGTTTAGGGTGCCTGCCAAATAGAAGTATAGGGGGCATTGCCACTGATTACATCCACAAGGGCCAGTCTTGCAAAATGAAGTGTCATCAGCAGTCACTGAGGTCACAGTAAAATGACTGACATTGATGAGCAACACTTGTGAATTGCTGCTGATTTACTATAGTCATTCTGTACAGCGAGTCAGTAAAATATTGCTGTCTACACCATTAAAACAGGAATGTATGATTAGAGTGTAAAAAAAAGACACCCAGAATCCAACATCCAACTTATTTCATGCCAACACAATTTGGTCAGCAAAGCCCTTTGAGGTTAATTTATGATTTTGGGCTGTATAAATAAAAATTTACTAGACTACCCCCAAAACACCACACAAGTTTAAACCACATCTGTATACATTCCCTGAGAAGTTTTGAAGAGTTTAATTTCATCTTTGCTAAGCTTTGAAAAAAAGCAGCACCAGAAGTGTGCTGCTGTATATATCCGTGCTGCCACCACTACCACGGGTAAACATATGCAAATGACATAACTGAGAATGTATGGCAGAGTCTACAATGTCTCATAAATTCCAGCTTATTATATTGTCTCTGGGTGTGCCGCAAATTGCACAGCCTCTCTCTCCTGATGACACTAGTGTTGGCCTGTTTGGCAACAGTGTCAGGAGAGAAGGCGACAAGAGTCATTAGGCAGGAATCCCTCCGTCGCCTCACCATCACTCCCATCCATTTACTCTGTCCTCCACAGTATCCAAAGCCATGGAGCAAAATACAAATTGGGAAAGGGAATGTTAACTTGCGCTCCATCCTCAGGGTGTTCATGAAAACTTCTCAGTGTTTCCTGTGGTCTCCTCAGCAGCATTCAGTTTCATAACACCGCCTGGCTCTGAGGTTAACCACAGGGCATATATTGCCAAGATTCACCAGCATCTTCTCTCAGCCCACAACAAGGCCTCTGCTGCTGTAGTTGACTACAAGTATGCAAAACAAAATACATTGACACCAGCTTTTTTTCAGAAAACAAAAGAGCACAGTTGTGTCTTGTTTGAGGAATGTGTTCTTATCCACTGATACCACTCGGAAACTCTCCGTTTCTTATTTTAGTTAAATCAATGCATGACTCAGTTTCCATTTCCCATGCATTCCTGACATACTAACACACACTGACAGGCCTGACAGACTGTGTGTGTTTGTGTGTGTACATGCACATGCACACATGCACATTAAATGACATCCAGTCTACATGTGTCCTTGGGATTTGGAGAAGGCTTAAGACCATGCCCTGCAGGGGGTACAGAGGGAGTATGGGGTACCGTAGTTGCTATGAGCCATCCAGTCCTTATATAACTGCAGTGAGAGCTGTGTCTGTATTCTCTGTATTCTTCAAGGCATCTCTGCTCTTTGCAGATGATGTGGTTTCGTTGGCTTCATCAGACTGTAAACTGTAGCACACACTGGTGTTTGAGTGTAAAGCGGTCAGAATCTCCAAGTCTGAGGCAATGGTTCTCCACCTGAAAATGGTGGGTCTCAGTATTGTACCTCAGGCTTATTCCCAAATTAGAATAAAATGGAGCGTGAGATGGACCGTCATGGTGAAGGTGAGCGGAGCTAGAAAGTAAAGTTTTTGATTTACCAGTTGATCTACGCTCTACCCCTCATCTATGGTCATGAGCTCGCACATACAAGCAGCCTTAAGAGGTTTCCTGTACAGGGCAGCCTTTAGAGACAGGGTAAGGAGCTCAGACATCCAGAGGGAGCTCTGAGTAGAGCCACTGCTCCTTTGCATCAAAAGGAGCCAGTTGAGGTAGTTTGGGCATCTGATCAGGATGCCTCCTGGGGGCCTTCCTTTGTAGGTTTTCCAGGCACGTCAAACTTGTAGGAGACTCCGGGGTAGAACCAGAACTCGCTGGAGGGATTACATCTCATCTGATTTCATCTGGCTAAGAAATGCATCGGGATTCCAATGTCATATAAATTTATTCTTTGTGTGTGTTTAGCTCTACTAAATCCACAGCTGAACTATTCTATGTCCAGGCTGCATTCCACTTTATTAGGCACACCAGTATAATTATATGAAATCCAATACAACTGTTGTACTATAAAGTCTACTTTTATGATCAGTTTTTTTGACACAGTCATAGAGGTGTTAATTCAATTATATATTTTAGCATTAAAGAGGTGGTATTATGCTTTATGGCTTTTCCCCTCTCCTTTATTGGGTTATATACCTTTTTTGTGCATGTAATAGGTTTGCAAAGTGAAAAAGTCCAAAGTCCAGCCCAAAGGGAGTTCCCATCTCCCACAGAAAGCTCTGCTCTGAACTGCTTGAAAACAGCTCGTTTGTAGTCCAGCCGCTTCCCCTTCATCCCTGTAACGTCACAGGGATGAAAGCTAAATGCGCCTCATATAACGGCTAGTAGTCCTTAACTAGGATCTGCGCATGTGCAACTCCCAACAAAGATCATTTAGAGACAAGATGTATCACTCCGTAGCTAAAACAAAGCCTTCAACACAGGGTGAAAAGAGGAGCTGTAGCAATGTGCAGTATGACAAAAAATATGGTGTTTTTTGAAAATGAAACTATGTAAACCTGTTCTGGTACAACCCCTAAATAGAATTTTGAACCTGAAAATGAGCACAATACCACCTCTTTAAAGTCATAATTAGTGACGATGTTATACTGGACTGTATTAAATTAAGAGGTGTTTCTAATATCCCCTTCATGCATGTAAATATGTAACAAAAAATGTACCTCTCAATATAATGAAGTGCAGTAAAACACCACGTTTAACTATGACCTCAACAACAATTTACACATTTCTGAGAATATAAACTTTGTAAAGGTCTTTGTAGTAATTTAGGGTAGAGCTGTTGTATTGAATTGCAATTGATATTTACCAAATATATATTATTGTGAAAAGGTTTATTTGCAATTGATATTTACCAAATAAAGTGAGTTTATATATATATATATATATATATATATATATATATATATATATATATATATATATATATATATATATATATATATATATATATTTATTTTTTAACAAATCTTACACTGGAGATAGTTTATTGAAAATGATTAAATACCAAGGGGTCCCAAAATGCTGCCAGGCTTAATTAGAAAAAGACAGCTATACACTGTGACTCAGCTGGGGTTGTAAAATTTTCTCATTAATTCACAGATATCAATAAAGAATGCTCCAAACAATACAGTGCTGGGAGCTTCAGAAAAACACATTATTTTTCCTGACATGGTGTGATCTGAATACCTGAGTTTGTATTGGAAGAACTGAGCAGAGACGCTGAGCCCACAGTACTGATCAGCAGGGTGTAATAAACAATTATTGTCATTATTGATTCATCTATTATTTTTTGATTATGAATATTAGTTAGTAGCTAGTTATATTAATTTTGTCTTGTTTTTTGTCTCAGAAAATAAAATCCATCACAAGTTGCCAGAAGTTAAAATGATGTCATTTACAAACAATATTTCAAGAGCTCACCTAAATCCCAGACTGCTGATGTGCTTGCTACCCAGCCTGTCCAGGCTCTTCTTGGCTGAGTCCTCCAAGTTGTTGGAGCCCTCATCGTTGACCACCATGGCCAATATGAGACCTGCCTCCACATTATCCACATACTTTGCAAGGCGACAACTCTCATCCTTACTACGGTATGTGTCAAACCTGCGGCAGGTAGGTGGGCGGAAGGTTAAAGAAGGAACAGGGGAAAGAAAAAAAAACTTTATTGTGTCTTGCATTCAGAGTCAAATAAAAACCTACTGCAGGTCCTGCAACAATGCAAATGTTGACTGGTCAAACTAATATCAGGTTTTTATAGAAAGTGCACCCACTGACTGTGAATGTGACACACTCATAGGAATGTAAACTGACACAAAACACTGAATGAACCATTCCAAGTGATGCTTCACAAATATCTATAGAATACAGATCAAATATTGGTCACTTAAAGTAACACCTCCAGATTTTACTTAAGTCCAACTGAAATTAACTTGCCTAAAAAGGGAGAATTATCACCTCCTGCCTGTGCTACTGTTTCATTTTCTTTTGCATTGTGTGTCTTCGTCCCTGCCAGCTCAGCTGTCAATCAAAGTCTTACCCCAGCCATACAGGCTCAGAGACTAAAGGAGCATTTCGGATTTATCTTCAAATACCCCTTTTCTTTATTTCAATGATAAAAATACATTTAAATGTAAATTACTTTACTTTAATGTACATATAGCACCCCATAATGTCAAGTGCTGTGAGTGCTTTAACAAAATCAACAAGGACTGTACCTTAATTTAAAAAAGTTGCTAATAGCTAAAATAAACCTCTCATGAGCACCAAGATCAGATATGTTAAACAACTAGTAAAACTGTATTCCATTTCAAAGCAAAATTTGCAGTCTATTCATTTAGAATTATTGTTGAATTGTTTTCTAATCTCTCACTGCAGCTGACTCAATCTGCATATAAACTGTGTTGTAATAAGTGTAAATGTTAAGTGCTTTTTATGGTTGTCACCTTTAATCAGACAAAGTATAATGACAGTAAATTAAAGTAGACTGGATGCAGTCCTGACTCCTCTAAAGATTAAACAGTGATCTGTTTACCACAATAAAAGCTGTATATCAATTTATCTGATCTCCATTTGGAATACAAATGTAATGGATAACTAGTCATGAAAGGATATTAAGGATGGCATTGATTTCAAAATGTAATATACCTGCATCAGTGCCACAGCCATTAGAGGAATATTTGTGTTCTCCATTATAAGTGGTTACCCAGCTTATGAGATCAGCCATGACATAATTTCTGCTCTTATTGAGCAAGACGCATCCTCTGCTTTGAGGGGACCCTTACCTGTCAATATGCAGCACTTCTCCTGTCTTGGGGTCGATGACGTGGATAATGATGCCACGGTTCCCCCAGCTTCTTTGGAACAGGTAGTTGTTTTGGTTGCTCTCACCAGGGTGGAGGGTCTTGTTGAGGAACGTCCACGACAGCTTCTGTTTTCCATGGATCTCTAATGTCCCTCCTGTCCCCACGCCAATGTACTTCCTCCCAAAGTAGCTGTGTTCCTGATCACTGTCATCCAATCTAAGAACATGTGAGAGACAATAAAAATGACAAACGAGGAAAGGAAGTATGATTCAGTCAGTGCTTGTAGACATCACACATCACAATAAAAAAAAATATCATGGCATTTTGCCTTCATAAGTAATAAGTGACAGGAAAAGCAGGGGAAAGTGGGGGATAGGCGTGATAAGGGATGTGTGTCAAACAACGATGAGACTTCATATCAGGAGGAAATCAACAATCTTGCAGAGTGGTGCACAGAGAATAACCTACTGCTCAACATCAGCAATTCCAAGGAGCTGATCGTTGATTTCAGGAAAAAGGAAACAAAGACACACACTCCTGTCTACATCAGTGGTGCTGAGGTGGAGCAGGTGAACAGTTTCAGGTTCCTGGGAATCAGCATCACAGAGAACCTGACATGGTCATCTCACATTTCCACACTAGTGAAAAAAGCTCAGAAACAGATATATTTCTTTAGGAAACTTAAGACGGCTAAGTTCTTGTGCCAAGTTCTTGTCAGCATTTACAGAGGAGCAATAGAAAGCATCCTGACTGAAAACATCACTAACTATCATGGGATGTGCAGGGCACAGGACCAGAGTTTTGCAGCGGTTGAGGATACTAAAGGACAGTACCCACCCAGCCACAGGCTGTTCACCCTGCTGCTTTCTGGGGAGAGATACAAAAGTTTCTTCTGCCACACCACCAGACTGCAGAGCAGCTTTTTACCCCCAAGCTATCAGACTCTTAAACTCTAATTCATACTCAGCACTGCTCCATGTATATCATTTCTGTTTTACCTTTTTTATGATTGTTGTACTGTATATTGACTCATTATTGTCTGCTATGTAGCAGAAAGGAGTTGCATACGCAATATCTTTTTACAACCCAAATGTAAAATGACAATTAAATTACTTTGAATAAAGGTGCTGGACTCAAACTTGGGGACTGTCCACAAATCCCATGAAAGGAGACCAAACATGTGTTAGTCCCACTCTCATAACGTTTTGACTTTGCTACCCTGTATGTGGCACTTAAACTTAAGTCCATTTGTTTCTACTGAAGACATAAATCTTTAACAAAACGCAAAGTCGACATGTACACAATCGGCTCTTTGATGTTGTATTACCCACAGCAGTGCTTTGAGCAAAATGCTAATATCAGCATGCTAACATGCTCACAATTACAATGCTTTAATGCTGATGTTAAACAGGCATAATGTTTACCATGTTCACCATTACTGTTGCCAACTTTGTCACTATGAAATAAGGGACAAGGTGGCCTGCTACAGCAGCGCGGGTATGGTTTTGTGTGAATATACAGTGTGTTGTTTTAAACAATTTTTCATAATGTTGGTTAATCTTAATTAAATATTTGGTAGGGTTAAAAAGGCCAGCAACACATGGAACCTTCCACCCCCTATCTTCAAATGGTACTTTCCGCCCCCTTCTTAGAGTGGTATGTTCCGTCTGCCCAGTGCAGTTCACAAGATCATGGAGAGATCTGAGAGTTCTAACTAAGTTGCAAAAGGAATGCCAATGCCTTTGTTTCCGACTGTAGTGTGCGTCCATTGAACTGTAAGTACTTTACGTCTCCTATTATTATAGTTTGGGTATAGTCTTCCCCTTTTCTTGGCTAGATCTTGCTCTAGCTCACTTTAGCTACTGTTAGTCATGTCAATTAGGCCCATTTACGAGCAAGTGAGTATCTAGAGTGCTAGTTCCATTTGTGTAGAGCCTGTTCTTAATGTAATGACATTCAATGTGTCTTTTTATTATTAATAGCTGTCTAGCTGTCAACTGTTTTCTTTTTGGAAAAGTGGTTAGCGGGCATCACTGTGGTGCCACCTTGTGGCCGTTCTAAGTATGGCGGCGTTTATTTATTTATTTTTCTCATTTAGTTCTTTATAATGACTGGTTTAATGGGTTGTAATATGTTGCCTTACTCTGTATATTATTCCTCATTTCAGAACCACACACACATCTACCACAATTTGGCAATAAAGCTAGTTGCTTTGGAAAATAATCGTTCTCTAGAGCCTACAATCTATTTTTTATTGATCATTAAATGCACATCTTATTCTCTTACATTTACTTGTGGGATCTGTGCTTTTTTTTATAATTTATTTATTTTTATTTCTTTAAAAGGGACAGTGCATATTAATGGACAGCTTTTCAGCAATTTAAATATGCCAGAGTTAGCCCAAAGACTATTTTACATCTGTAGTCCCCCGTCAGGTCATCACAGTAGGCTACAAGGTAACACAGCTAAACATTAAAATTGGATACAATACAACACAATTTAAGAGACGCCACAATTTTCAACATCATATTATAACAGACACCACAGCAGACAGGGTTTTGTAATTTAAGGTGCTGTTTACTCATCTTCTATTCACTCCTTTCTTCTAAATGCATTTTCATCTCTTGTCCCTCTTCCATTTCACCTGCTTTCACGTTAATTTCTTCTGGAGTCCCTGGATCACCAATGTGCAGTTAATCTACCTGCTGTCCCTTGCTGTGATGCCTATCCTTCCTTCTCCCTATCTGACTCATCTGTGTGACAAAATAGTCCCTCAAACACAATCGAATCATCTAACATCAGCTGGCGAGTAGTGATGAGTGCATGAAGCATTATGAAGCTTTGGGGCTTTAAGCTAAGCAAACACAGTTGCATCTGGTGTTATGTAAAACTAGACTGAGGCCAAAACGCCACCATAACTCGCTGATCCTAACAATTTTAGTCTCGTGTGTGCAATAAAAGTCAAAAAGGGTTAGCCCTAACCTGATGGTTGATATTTATCAGATATGTGAGATGTGAGCCATGTGATGTGATTAGACAGTGATATTCATTAAAGCCCCCTCCAGCCAGTTTTAACTGTCGTTTTTGGTGAACGTTCTTTCTCAAACAGAAAATGGGGGGTGTGGTTAATAGTCGGACGTAATACATTACCATGACAACCAAAAACTGACCGGCTGGAGTGTTTGCTAATATGCTGTGTTAACATCACTACACTGTAAAGTTTAGTACACTTTACTGTCTGGCAGGAGTAGCTATTACTTACCCATGATAGAAACTAATGTGCCAGTATCAGCTGTTATCAGTCATACAGTTTATGGTCCTGTCATGCACTGCACACGATAACTCCCACTACGTTTTATGGTGCGCTTACTTTACCGCGGGGGTGTGGGGGGTCTATTACTCTGTTGAACTGTATGTAAAGACTTCTGATACCATTTCCTCTGCTGATGCATTGGTAAAACGGCCGTCAGTAAAATATATAGTACCGCAACAACCGCAAAGTTCATACTTTACACTTCAGTGAGTGTTAAATAAATAAATTAGTGCTTCAAAATTTCCACAAGCGAAAAAAGCTTTCTAACTGTTCAAGGACGGATCGCCATGGGCTGTATGTGACCCGACTTAAAACTGAAAGCTGTACATTAAGTGTTGCTGTATTTGTGTTGTTTTACTCTTTGTTTTGTAGGTTAGCTAACTTGGTGTTAGCATATTGCACGGTTAATGTGGCTAGCAGGCTCAGCGATGTTAGACTGATGTTGAGATACTGAGGGGCAGTCAAGAGAAACTGTTGACGGTATGTAAATTGGTTTGATAGACATGCCCTGAAGGTAACGATATAGCTACATATGAAAAAGTCATGGTCAAACTACAGAAATGATTTTGCTCAGCAATGTCGTGTAACTTTGACTAGCACCCAGCAACCAGCTTGCTCAGACCATAAATCTGCTGTTAGAGGCTCGCTGTGCAGTGAGGTGAGATCCACAGACACACTTACTATGCTATATGGCACCAAATTACTTCATTGATCAAAAATGGCAATAATACCGCATACCACGCTGTTAAGCCCCAACAAATTACTTCACAGCAACAGCCCTAATTGTTACATGTCTGGGAAATAAGCTAGGGTTTCCAATAGACATGTCAAACTGTGGGCATGTCTGCTCTGCTCTGTTTAGTTAGTTCTCAGTCAGTTTTGTTATTTTTTGTCTTTTCTGTATCGGTCATTTAGTCTGTGTTTTGGGCTTCAGTCCTGTCTGTTTTCTTGTGTCTAGTTTACTCTGTGTGTTTGTGCTTGTTGGTCTGATACTGTCTGTGTGTCTTGTTGGGGAGTCTGGTAGTGTGGTTCTGGTCTGATCTGTTTAGTTTCATTATTATTTTGATTATTCTGCTTTAGTCTGTTCTCGTTATTCAGTTTGTTATTCAGTTTGTCTGTCCTGTTTTAGTTTTTGCCTTTAATTAATTTTTCTGCATTTAGATTTTGATTCAGTTCCTCTGCCTGCTTGTCTGTTCTGTGTTTTGAGTTCCAGTGAGATTCTTGTCCTGTGTTCTGTAACATCTCTTATTTACCTCTCCTTGTTTGCTTGTTTTATGTCAGTTTGTTCTGTGACTCTGGTTTCAGTCTGTTTCCATGTTTTATGTGGTTTTGATCTGTCTGCTTGTTTTTGTGATTGTTTGGGTGATGTTTGTTGGTTCGGTTTAGCTCTTGCTGGTTCTTGCCGTGTGTCTTCCTTGCCTGCCTGTTTCTGCTGCCTCGTTTTTGGATAATCCTTTTGTTCTGTCTTCCCCTGGATTATTTGTTTATGGACTGTGTTTTTGCTGCTCGGCGGACTACCTCTGTTATGGATTACCTTTGTTGTTTTCTATTGGCCATAACTTTGGTTTCTTCCCCTTATTAATAAATTCTTATGAGACTGTATCTGTAAATGCTCCGACCACTCAAAGCGCTTTTACACTACATCTGCATTCACCATTCACACACTGAGCCTAAGTGCTCAAACGGAAACTAACATTCACACACATTCATACATCAGGGTTCAGTATCTTGCCCAAGGACACTTCGACACGCGAGCCAGGGATTGAACCGCCGACCTTCCGATTAACGGCCAACCCGCTCTACCTCCTGAGCCACATCCGTCCCGCCTACTTGTCCTGAATTTGGGTCCTGTAACCTGTTCGTGTGTGCTTGCACACACGACAGCCCTGACAAGACATCCAGTTGAATATTCACCCATTTTACAACAAATATGTAATCCATTAAACTACATTAAATTAAACATTTTAGATCAGAATTTTAATGACAGTCCAATATAGGTTCAGAATATCAGAGATTTTATTGGTTGATTGAATTGTTAAATTGACTATAACTTGTGTGTTGATTGGTGGCACTTCTTGAAAACTCACATAATCACTATGTTTTAATGCTTCATACAACTGTACCTGCCAAAAAGAGAGATGGTAAGGTTGCCTTTATAAGGACAGTCTGGACTTCCAATGTGAAGCTCCCCTTTGTTCCCAATCAGAATATGTTTTGTTCGCAGCAGTATGGGCCGGTTGGTGTCAGCAATCACCAGCTTTCCTAAAGGGAAGAGAGAGAGAGGGAGAGGGAGTGATGAAGGCTCTTGGCAGGTCTTTCATGCCCCAGTGCCCTCAGACACCTCCTGTCTTCCTACCATTTATGGCCCTAGGCTCAGACTGTCCACACACACACACACACACACACACACTCACACTCACACACACAGAAGATATAGCTGGCCAACCACCTGTGTTGCCAGGTCTGCAATCCAATGATTCCAGTTCAGTAGTGGTGAATAGCTGTTGAAGATCACCAAGTATGTGCTATCACCTGTATGTGCCACTTTTCTGTGAAAGGTGGAGGCCCTGCTTTTACCACATTTGTTCATAATATTACCCTGTTTGTGCCTTTACACAATATTTATAGTAATTCAATTTGTCAGACACTGTCAAGGAACTGACATCGTATAGCAAATGGTTCTACTGTTAAATGTGGCAGAAAAGGCTCTGCTCTTTGAGGGAGCTATCAAAGAATCTGAGCACCGATGAGGCTTCTGCAAGGAGAACTAATGCTCCATAATGGAAAAACCATTTGATCTTAGCAAGTCAACAATATCAAACAATATTTCCCCTTGAAAACTCAACACAAAACCTTAACTTAAACTTAATTTAAATCAATATGTTTGGTACGGTAGCCAGACATTCCGTAGTTAGTCTGTTCATTTGAAAAACCAAAAACTAACATATAAAACGTATAAAAGGTTTTATTCCCTTAAAACCAGTAGATATTGCATTAAAAATACCATAATATTTTACAATTTATGACTTTATCAAGGATAAATTTAAAATTTAAAATATGGGTTAATTAATGTAATATTCAGTTAAACAACTGAGGTTGGGGTGGTGGATGGTGTTGCAGCAGCAAGGAGTATTGGCATGAAGAAAACAGCAGAGTAGTTGGTGATGTTGCGTTCTTGAATGATCCAATGATCCACAAGTTATTTAGTGTTGCAAAACCTAGCCCACACATGCAAAATTAAATTATATTGTTGGGATTTCTAAGTTTGAATCTGATCCAAATCCAACCCTATCTTTATCCTAGTGATTATTTTGATTTTATTTGATAGCCTTTATTGTCCCTGAGGGGCAATTTGTTTTGCAACAGTAGTCAATACACATCAACCAAATAATAAATAAAATACCTAAGAACATAAAACATACAATGGGTGTTGTCAACATACAGTAAAGCAACCATGAAATATAGAGCACTATATATCCATAACTCCCATATTACAATATATGTGCAACAGCAACCAGGCCTACAGTTTGAGAACAAATTATCTCAAATATCTAATTGATTTGGCCTTTCTAGGGAATGTATACCTCAGTGAGCCAATGACACAAAGCATGAAAAAACTGACGTTCAGCTGAGGTGAATGCACTTGCAGTGCTCCTTCTTGACTTAACAGAATGCTGTAAAGCTAGAAAACTACATCTCAATTAGCTAACTAACTAGATGGGCATATGGACAGACCAACAGAGATAAACAAACAGACACACGTACACAGAGAGATATAACTAAGTACTAAGGGCAATATAAGATAAGTTGACTAGCTACCTTAGAATAGTGTTTGTCAGTTTGATGCTCGGACACAAATAACCATGACAGTGCACCTGCACAAGCATGGAGGATGATGTATGCCCTGCGCATTCTACTATAGTCATACACCATTGTCCCGTTTTAGCAAATTTGAGCACAAAATTAAGTTATTGGTCAAAAAATATTTCTAGTAACTCAACTTGAACTCTGGGTTATATACACAAGTTGATCCAATAAAATGTGATTTAGGGGGACTAACTAGCCCCACCCAGTTTATAAAATCACACTTGACCAGTAGCTTGTGAGTTGTAGCTAGCATAGAAATGTCACAGAAAGAGGAAAAAGATGTGTTTGAACAAGAACCTGGTTGGGATAAAATTGTGAATTAAAATTCTCTTCATTTCTATGTCCCACCCACATATTGTAGTGTACTCAGAAATGCCACTTTACAGAAGATAATGACAATTTCACTGTGACTTTAAAGAATGTACAAGATTTATTTTCTAACTTACCTCCATTGAGAATCTCAATGGAGTGGACCGTAGCCGACGCTGTGAGGAGGACCTTCCTGCCATAACCGATTGTAACACGGTGGTCTTCACTGTGTCCTGGCATCCATGGCTGCAGTCCTGGCTCCTTATCTGGACACACTGCAGGAGCCAGAAAATTATTTAACTTTAAGAGACAGATATAACTCGCCTATGGTGGAAGTAACAAGTAACCAAGGATATACAGGTGCAGCTCAAAAAATTTCATTTTTCGAGCTGCACCTGTATACTTAAGTAAAGTACTTCTAAGTAATTACTTACTGGAGTATTTCCATTTTATACTACTCTATATTCTACTCCACTACATTTCAGAGAGAAGTAATGAACTAGGTGCTGGTAACATCTGTTACTTTGGCTTGTGACTCCTCATAAAAAGTTGTCTAGTTGTCAAGTTTCAGATGTCTGAGTTGTTAGCAGTTCCACCAAAGAGACATTTCTCCTCTGAGCCACAAGGAATTTCTGGAAAACAGTCTACATGTGTTTTTTGAAGTTGGAGAAGGCTTATGACCGTGTCCAATGAGGACTTTTGTGGTGGCTGTGCTGCAAGAGTATGGGTTACCTGGGCCATTGCCACAGGTCATCTGGTCCTTTTATAAGCAGTGTGAGAGCTCACCTTGTCAGTGTGTGTTGGGCTCTTCTAGGTTTGTCCCTTGTCACAGATTCTATTAGTGATTTTCATGGATAGGATCCCAAAGCTGAAGGGAGGAGAGTGTTCAGTTCGGGGACCTCAGAATTGCTTCGCAACTCTTTGTAGATGATGTTCTGTTCTTTATATTATGACCTCCAGCACATACTGGGGTGGTTTGCAGTCGAATGTGAAGGGTCCAGATGAGAGTCAGCACCTCCATGGCCATGATGGATTGCTCCCTCTGGTTTGGGAGTGGTTTGCCCCAAGTGAAGAAGGTCAAGTAGCTCAGGAGGACAAAGCTTTTTATTTACTAGTAAATCTACATTCAAACCAAGTGGCTGAAATGAGTTTCCTCCACAGGGTGGCTGGGCTCAATCTTAAGGCTTGAATATACTCCAGAGTAGACACGCACACGGACAGCTGAGGACCCTGCGGACGTGGACTACTTCTGTTTATACTACTTTCTGGAGTCAGCTTGGTTGAAACGTTCCACAAATGCGCAGTAGTTCGGTTGATGCCCTGGTAGCGTAGTCGGCGCGCGGACCTGTCCGTGTGGTCATAGAAAACAGGAGACAAACAGACTTCCGCACAGACGCTACGTTTACCCCCTTTGATGACAATTTTTTCATCACGCGGACCCTTGCCTACTCACGGACGCATGAAGTATAATCCTTGCTTAGAGACAGGGCAAGAACCTCAAACATCTGGAGGAAGCTCGGAGTAGAGCCTTCAAGTCAAAAAGAGACAGTTGAGTTGGTGGACAACATTGCTGGGGAGAGGGATGTCTGGACTACCTTGCTTAGTCTGCTGCCACAGTGACTCGGCCCCAGAGGCGGCAGAAAATGGATGGACAGCATACCACAAGTAGTACACTTAAAAATCAAGACTCAAAATGGGGAAGATGGCATAGATGCATAAGGACAAGTCCAGGCAGAGCAGTTATAACAGACCAAATAAATATATTCTCCTTACAAGAATACATGATAAGAAACACATTACATAAAAATGTGTCACCTTTGTTAGTCCCTCCCTGGCCTTTACTATTTCAACTAGCAGCCTGTTAGCAACCCTCCAGTCCCTCTAATGTAAATTATAAAAATAATAGATGGAAAACTTCCACCTATTTTTAGAGCAAATTAAACACTGTAGAACATACTTCAGCTGATGTAGCTTTTATCAGGCTTTGTCACCTTGACAAAACCTTTTACAGCTGAAACAAAAAACAAGGACTTATTTCTAGACTTACTTTATTCAAAATTATTTTATTATTTCTATACTTACTTTATTCAAAAAAGAAATCCTTCATAAAGGCATGTTATTCATATTTATATACACTATACACCGACCAACCTGTCACCTTTTACTGAAAGCAACAGGTAAGTACACGTTTTCTTGAGGCAGTTAAAAGGCACTGTGGGAAACATTGCAAAATCATGAGGTTGAATTAAATGAGATAGAAAAAAATGTAAATTACAACATTTAAGACCATCTGAAAATCTCCTGTAATCCAATGAGGATTACTGACAGGTTTGACAGTGAGTTTTTCCTGCTGATCTGATTAGTGCAATTCCTTTTCTACTCTTTAACTTTCTTAGCTCCCCAACTATATAATTGGGGGTAAAATAGCACACAAGGTTATTGGCTTGCTCATTCAAGAGTGACCAATAAACCCATTTAGATTGTGTCTGTAATTGTCATGATAGCACTGAGATACTGTGTGTAACTGCTCAGTCTGCCAAATGAAGTTTCAATCTATTGTGTGGTGGTTACCTCATCTCCCTGCCAACTAACAGATCCATCACTGGCAGTGACTGGCCAGGGACCTGAAATGTCAAGTAGATTTCCCAGAGGGCTAACACTGATTGATAAGTGGTGACGTGCAATCAGCTGGTTTCTGCTATCTTTGAGTGATGGCTGATTCTGAAGGGCTCAAAGTGTCTGTGGACGTGTTTGTCTGCAGCCCTGCTATGAATCTAAGACACTATTCCCTACGCTTCTCAATGATTTCAATAGACTATCCATCTTTGCATGTCAAGCCTAGTGACACTAGCATTGTGGCCCAGTTGCATTCGTCTGTGCACACTGACCATTAAGTTTGGAAAGAGCATCTGAAAAACCATCTTAACTCAAAGTACACGTAAGTCCCTTTATCACTGGATAAAAAAAAAACACTGGCTTTTGTCTTCAGTGTGAAAGTGTACAATCAGCATTCACTCCCGGTCAAATGACTCTGCAGCAGTCACTGGTATTTATCGGCTCCAGCTTCGATCAGCAGTAATGGAAACATGACACCCGGGTGGACACGCCAATTATCCTGCTTTTCCACCACGACTCATCCAAATGTTTACATAGTATTAGCATGCTAGGCTAACAGTCCGTCAACTGTGACTTTCTATCCGTGCTGTGATGTTTTTCAGAGCACACAAACGCCATAAACACATCTATCAGCACAATACGGTTCACCACAGCAGCTAGACCTTATTTTTATACTGTATGAAATAAACACAGCAACTATCATAAGATTGTAACTTGCCTCCATGCTGCTTTCTATTGTTTACTACCCATCAGAAACATCAGCAAAAACTGAAAAGGCAAAAAAAAAAACACTAATTAGTGTAAATGGTTTTACTAGTATAGCAAGCTAAGCGTAGAACATTGGTCACAAGATAACAGGTGGTTGTATATGGGGAGATATGGTAACACCTGATGAATGTCCTTGAGCTTTCTCTGGACGTCTATTGACAGTATTCACAGACAGCTGGTGTAGTTGGTTTCCAGTGTTCATTCAATTTCAGTTTACATATCTATGTTACATGCCATTGTTTTCATATCTGAAAGAATATTCATTTTGCCCATTGATCATTGTTTAGATAGTATTTAAAAAAATGTTATTTGATGTATGGAACTCTGATTGGCTATCTGGTATGTGTCGGCAAGAGTCTAACCAGAGCTCTTGCTGCTGCTCTGTGTGTTGGACTTTTAACATTTATTAAAAAATTTTGCGTGCTGCTTAGACATCTTTAAATTAAAAGCAACTATGTAACAGTACAGCAATAACAAAATGGAAGCAGAAGTCCACTTTCAGTTTTTATCCTTATGGAGCCAGATCAGTAGCTAAAGCCATATCATCCAAAAAATCCACTATCAGAAACTCAGGTCATTTCAAGCCTGGAGCTCTCTGCATCATAATTATACTGACTAGATATCCAAGGTAACTCCAGTAGCAGTAGTAGTATTAGTGAATGAACACCACACATTCAAGAATAAACAATAAAAGTGATGAACTACGGAACACAGCTTTCACCATTAAACATACAGTGTATTTGGACCGAGTGTCATGCAGTCTTGGTCATACAGGTCAGGCCAGGTATGCACTGCAATACAATTCAGACTAACAACACTGAAAAAAGTGTGAACACTGCAGTATCTTTGTTCACATGAAATGTACACTGCAGTGAAGCTTGAGTGAAATGGAGAGGAAATTGAGGGAATGCATTGTCTAAACAAAACAAATCTGTCTTAACACATTTGCTAATGAGTTGAACCCTGCTTTATGCTTATATTTTTCACACATTTTAATTTACATATTTCCTACTCAATGTGTCTAACTTGGGGGGTTGTCTCTATATTCACCATATATCATCCTCATTTGCTTTTCTTTGATGTATTCTATTGCTTTTAACTTCTTTGATGTATTTGTCTATTGCTTTTTAATGCCCCAATTTCCACATGACAGGGATCATTAAGCTTTCATTTGGTAAAATTGCAAATCAAATCAAACACCATGCAGACAGCAGCTTTAGCTGTGGTGTTTATAGCCACATTAGACACATGGCTGTATGGATGGCCATGTCTGTTAGTTGGTCCACGTATTAAAATATATCCACAACTATTAAAGGAGGGTATCAATCCTCCTGACTTTGATGATCCTCTGGCATTTTTGGTTTTGAGTGAAATATCTCAAAAACTACTAATACTCTAGGATGTATTGCCATGAAAATTGGTACATTTATGGTGTCCAAAGGAAGAATCCTGATGATGTTGGTGATCCCCTGATGCATAGCATCTAGCGCCATCAGCAGGTCAAAGTTTTCACCTATCTTGTGAAATTACTTGTGACGGCCCCAGGGCCTCTGCCAGGGAGTGTGTGTGTCTGTGTTTTCTTGCAGGGTGTACTTCCTGGCGAGCTGGAGCTGAGGCCATCAGGGAAATCAGAGGCAGCTGGCCACTGTCTCTAGACTGCATAAAACCCACCCCTTCCTGATTGTTGCCGGCTTGCTTGCTTCTTCCTTGTCCCCAGCATCATGGTGTGTTGCTTTGTTATCCTTTTGTTCGTTTACGTTAACCTGGCACTATGTTTTGCCAGCCACATTTGTTAAGCTTTGAAAAAAAAAGTTACATTGGTCAAATGAAATTACTTTTGGTGATCCAACGAGGGTTAAAATGAAGGGCAACTGGACTTGGTTGAAGATAC